ATATATTTAAACAATATGCTTGGAAACATCCAGGCATTTTTGTGCTCAGAATCTAGGAAGGGCAGAAGATGGAATGAGGGTCATGGTGGCATTTGATTGTGAGTTGCCCAGAGGTGGTGCGGTACAAGAGGTGGTGCACAAATGTCTAAATAAATAGCGTTGTTGGACCCTGAAAAGCTGGATTTTTTCTGATTTCCACATCCCAAATTCACTTTGAACAGTCATGTTAGCTTAAGGAGAAATGAGATGCAGTACTGAGAGCAATTTGTTGATGTTGAAGGAGATTGTGAGGTGGGTTTTGAATACATGAAGAATATAGAGTTGGGAAGTCAAGAAGGATGAACTGATTCACAGATGTCCAGTTTCCCATATCCATGACTGGGGAGAAAATAATGAACATGAATGAATAAGGAAAGGAGAAATGCTGCCAATACAGATATTCTCATGAGAACGTAGAGCAGGTTTGTACAACCAGGGGTCCCCAGAATTGTGGCACCTTCTGTGTCTGCTGTGGCTGGTGTGGCTCAATCCCCCTTCCATTCCAGACTCCTCGCAAGTTTTACTGTTGCTCTCTCCCTTCCTCAATAAGCAGGGAAGAGAGGAACGTGCAACTCAGAACAAACATCAGCAAAGTCCTCCCAAGTCATCCCAACACTCATTTGTACTTGCATGTATATCCCTGCACATATCTTCATATTTTTCAAAGTGTATATGTGAGTGCATTTTTCAATTTTCCAACACACTGCTAGGGGTGATCTGAACCATTAGTGGGAAAGAGATCTCCATAGCCCTGTGGAGGCATTCACTTTATTTATTTAGCAGACGTATATGCCTTCCCATTCGCCTCAGCCTCAGGGCGGCTTACAACATAAATAAATATCAATACAATAAAATACAGTTGGAGACATCCTGGCCAAAGTTGTTAAGATCAATAAATAAGATCAACAATTAAAATGACGTTTCAATAAAAAGGTCTTGGCCTGGTGCCAAAAAGCAAATAACTACATCTCCAGGCGGACCTCTCTGGGGAACGCATTCCATAAGTTGGGCGCCACCGTGGAGAAAGCCCTCCTCTGGGTACTCACCCTCCTAATTTCCTTCACGGAGGGCTCCTGGAGAAGGGCATCTGCCGCCAATCTCAAGGGGCGGGAGAACACGTATGGATGTAAGTGCTCCTTTAGGTAACCAGGACCCAAGCCATTAAGGACTTTATAGGTGATAACCAACACCTTGAATTGGGCCTGGATTTCAATGGGGAGCCAGAGAAGCTGACGGAGGACTGGAGTTATGTCAGCACAATGCCCAGTCCCCGTCAGCAAACTGGCAGCTCTGTTTTGCACCAATTGAAGTATCTGGATCATCTTCAAGGGCAGCCCCAAATAGAGCGCTTTACAGAAGTCTAGTTGGGAAGTTACCAATGAGTGTGTCACTGACACCAGGCAGTCATTCTCCAGGTAGGGACGCAGGTGGTGAATCAGGCGAAGCTGAAAGAAAGTGCTTGTCCGGTACATGAGGCTAAGAGAGGACAGGATGCATGTGAGCAGGTGCGTATTGACCATAAGCACCCCTGGAACCCTGACCAAGTCATAGCACTTGCCATACTGAGAATGGCATTCAGATAAACATGCTTAGTCAGCACTAATAAACCCTGAGAAGGCTGGATTTGGATTCACTTGGCCTATGGAAGACAGGGACAGTCAGCGACTAATGTAATACCAACCTGTCCATTTCTGTTTCTTTCTGGTTCGCCTTTTTCCCATTTCAATTTACACTGATCTCCGTGAACTAATCCATTTATAGAATATAAATTTGGTCAAAAGCCCTCTGCATTGTTATGGTGACTTGAGATGAAGGCGAAACAGAAGACCCCACAACCGCTCAGAAAACTCTAAATCTCAGCATATATATTAGTTTACAATGAGAACCAAGCAAAATTCTTTCATACAGACTTGGACTCCACAGGTACTCTTAGATCTCATATTCCAGGTTGGCACAATATGTATGTACATCGCTGAATAATCATTATCATGGAGTGATAAAAGTACAGATACTTCAAGGTGTGTAAGTTTGTGGCAACAGCTTTTCCTACCCAAGGACCCTTCACCATTCTAACATCACTTTATTTATTTATTTATTTATTTATTTATTTATAAGCATATTTATAGGCTGCCTAACACTGCCTAGGCCTTCCTAGGCAGCTGACAAAACTTTACTGTTCTCCATCACAAGGATCAGAATTGCTGTTTTTTAAATGTTGCATTTATCGCTGTCCTAAAAAAGTAGCTTCTGTGTAATAGAACTTGGTCCTTGAGAGACAGGTGTTTATGATATTTCTATTACAATTCTATGCTTCCCTGATTCTATGAAGGAAAAAGATTCATTAGGTAGAAAACAATCAATTAAACATTTTGGATGTGTAAAACTACCATGGATTTTCAATACAGCCAGAAATACAATAGGGAGTCCTGAAAAGGTGGCTTCTGTGTCTCAATTCATAGATTTTGTTCCCTGAGAGTCAGGCACTCATTGCGTCATGCCAGCACCCACCATTCAGGATCTGATCCCTTGTGGTCCACTGTCCATGTGTCCACCAATTTAATTGTGACATGATAATCAGACTAGTTCCAAGGCTATCCTCTCTCCTCCCCATTTATTATATCCGCACCTACATTTTCTGTCTTTTGTACATGGATTCATCTTCCATTCCCTTGATAAAACTGGAGATGGATGCTAGTTTTTATTTCCAGATTTGGTGATTTTTTGTGCCCCTACTCAGGATCTTCCTAACTTTTCTTGTTCATGTTTACTGTTTGACATCAGTTAACCACCTGCCTCTTGCATACCACAAGGGGAAAAGGTGGTCAGTCCTCATATATGAGAAACAAAGCAAGGAAGAATTAAATAGGAAAAGTGAAGGAAATTTTGTTGCTGTTGTGATATTTGTGCCAAACAGCCACTCAGGTCCAAAATGATGTAGAATCAAGTGTTCCCCTTTGGGATTAAGCACATGGGTATAACTTGGTCTCTGCACAAATGCATCAAAGGCTTTGATGAAGATAGTTAAAAGAAAGCAAAGGATAATAAAGTCTGAAAGTGCTTTGAAATAAACCCCTTTGCCACAGAGGACTGTGACTTTGGACAAGCTGGAAGCAGGGCTCACTCAAGTTTAGGTCTCCATTAAATTAAACCTTTTTCTATCACGGAGCAAACATTCAACTGGATTGCTTGCAATCTGTGCTAGGACACAAGGCATGCCTTTGCGTCCATCGTCATGGTGAAAGGTATTTCTGATAACTTTCTCTGAAGGGGTATTTTGATAGAGCGTATCGTAACCTATTGAACTTATGTAATTTCTCTGTAAAAACACAGAAAAGTCTATCTAGAGTGAAACTTCACCACTAGTATGCTGTGCCTACTAGTATTCCACATGGTGTGTAAAGGAGAAACCATGCAATGCTCTATGAAGGATCCCCTCCCAGTTCCACATGAGTGGTCCCAGTCCGGTGGCCTCATTGTTGGTGAGATGGTTTCTCTGATCACTTATGGCTCCAGTGGAGTTGCCTTCCAGGAACAACCATCTCAGGAAATGTTTGGGGTGCCAGAGTAAGTATTTATCCCCCGCCTGCCAGTTTATGAACATCATGACAATACAAAGAATATTTTATCCAAGTTACAAAATAGTGAAAGGGAAAGCATTTTGGCTTCTCCTTCCAAAACACTGATTTCTCAAAAGGATCCACAGCCTTGAGGTTACAAGACCTGAGGTGTTAATGACACCTTGGAGGGTTTTCAGTCATAGGATTGTTTTTAGTTGGACAGGATTTGGTTCCACATAATAACGAGAAATTGAGTCCACATGGTAAAATGTAATGAAATGTACCCATGCAAGTTTTCTGATGCAAAACATATTTTTGCACTGTAGCAGAATTTTTCTAAGAGTATATTTTACGGTGGAACTAAGCTAAGAATGCAGCTCTATGCATGCTTGGATAGAATAGCCTTCTGCAGCTTCTAACATTTCCCATGTAACATGACTGGCTGAGAATGCAAACTGGGGTAGACTTCCCACTGTATAGACATGAACGGGATTGCATCCAAAGGGCTCACAAATGAATGATGTTCTGCAGCATTTCAGAGTTTTCGTCCAATGTAATCAACTCACTCTGTTGCAGTATGGTAACGAAATTCTACCAGCATGCCCTGGCCTTGGCATTTGCTGTGGAGGAGATCAACAAGGATCCCAGGATCTTGCCCAATGTTACCCTTGGATTCCATATCCAGGACAGCTACTATGATGCAAGGATGACATATCATACCACTCTGGATCTTGTTTTCAAATCTCAGAGCTTTGTGCCCAATTACAAATGCGGCACCCAGAAAAACCTTGTAGCAGCCATTGGAGGACTTGGCTTTGATACCTCTGTGAATATGGCAGAGATTTCAGGTTACTACAAAATTCCACAGGTAGGATTTATTTTTCTCTGCGTTGGGGGATGGGGATAAATTTCAGTCCAATTTTATCAGACCTGATCTGATTCTGATATCTCTTTAAAGTTCCAAGTGCATAGAATTTTTAAAAAATGACTCCAATTAAATCTCAGATCAAGGAAAAGAGACTTGACTTGAACACTTCTTGAAATGACTTTAGACTTAATTTGGACTTTAATGTAGATACATGGGACTTGCCTTAGGTTTGGAAACATAGAAACATAGAAACAGAGTGAGTCAGAAGGTTCTCTCCCGGGCCATCTAGTCTAACTACAGCCGGCTCTGCTCATGACATGCCCACCTGGAGTTAAGGACTTGAACACATCACTGAAGATAAAGTACCCCTGATCTGTTGGAGAAAATGGCACAAGGACTTCTCAAGAAAATCACATTCAGCTAGGAAAATGGCATAATCTAACTGATGTCTAAAATGTCTGATCTCCATTTAGCTCACATATGGTTCAATTGCACCAGAAAAGAGAGAAACCATACAGATCCATTCCTTTTACCACATGGCCCCATATGAAGACAGTCAGTACATTGGGATTATCAGGTTACTTCAGCATTTTGGGTGGATGTGGATTGGTGTCCTTGTTGATGGTAGTAACTGCGGAGAACGTTTCATGAAGGTCGTGGAGGAACTGCTTTCTCGGAATGGGATCTGCTCCGCCTTTACAAAAAGCATTTCACAACAGGCCGCTCTTGATGATGCTGATAAAATCAGTCATTTTTTATCGGAGATAAATTGGATTTTCAGAAACAGCAAAGTCAGTGCATTAATCATGTATGGAGAATCACTGACTATTTCATGGATAAGAACAGCTCAGTTTGTGAAAGATCTGAGAGAAAACACAACAACATTCTTTAGGAAGGTGTGGATTGTGACAGCACAGATTGATTTCATACTCAAGGGCTTTCAACATGGTTGGGGTCTTCAGCTGTTCCAAGGTGCCATTTCGTTTACTATTCCATCCAAGGATCCTCCAGGGTTCAGAGACTTTCTCCAGAGGGTAAAACCTAACTGGAACCAAGAGGATGGTTTTCTGAAAGCTTTCTGGGAGCAAGCGTTTGACTGTTCCTTTGCAGATCTCACTTCACCAACCACTGCCCATGAACTGTGCACTGGGGAAGAGAAGCTGGAGAACCTTCCCTCACCTCAGTTTGAAATGGACATGACTGGCCACAGCTACAGCATCTACAATGCAGTCCATGCTGTGGCACATGCCCTGCACACCATGTTTTTCTCTAGGTCCAAAGGCAGAGACCTGATGCAGGAGAAAAAGGCTGATCTTCAAGAGCTGCAGCCGTGGCAGGTGATCTCTTCGCAAGAAATGCCAATGAACAAAATCTGCCATGTCCAGAATGCATCCACCTTCCCCTGTTCCATCCACACATTAAGAGATAACATTCTGCATATTGTTCATTAATAACATTCTGTGAACTTGCATTTCTTCCAATAAGAGCTGAAAATAATAAAAATCTCAGTGTTGGATTCCTGTTTTGAACATGAACTTGGACCCAATATCCTTCTGCCTGTCATTATTCTATGATTCTAAGTTCTGGCACTCTTAAAGTGTATCAGTTCAGTTCCAAACTGTTAATCTAATATGAACCAATATAGTTCAATGCATTTCAAGGGGTGTAGACTACATAAAACTTGCATCAGACATGTCCCAAAAACCAGATTATTCCCAAAAATATGACATTTGTATTATGCTATTCTCCAATCTTTTCTTGTCATTCACTTCCCATTTCTGCGTTTTCCCCCTTTTCAATTAGCTCCATACTTTTTTTCATAGCATTTCATTTAATAATGCAGCTGGAGAAGCAGTGTCCTTTAGCGACAAGAGGGTACTGGATGGTGGATTTGATATTATGAATTTGGTCACTTTCCCCAATTTCTCCTTCAAAAGAGTGAAAGTTGGAAGGCTGGATCCCAAAAGTCCTGAAGGAAAAGAACTCACCATCAATGGGGATGCAATTGTATGGCCTAGCATCTTTAACCAGGTGTGGATCTTGTGATCTTATTGCTGGACTATCCATTCTCCAAAAGGAGAACCCATCTTAGATGTCTGCATAGATGTGTACGTAGGTACAACTCTTTCCCTGTCCAACCCTACTATGAAAGGTCATCAAATTCCAGAAGAAAGTCAGTGCACCCAATAACAAGAATACATTCCGAGGGCAAAATATGTCTGCCCATCGTTTCAAACTGAGTCGAGAACCAGTGTGGCATCATGGTTAGAGGGATGGACAGGGCTCCTGGGAGATACAAGTGCTAGTCCCTACATGGTTATGGAGCTCACAGGGTGACTTTGGGCCAGTCACAGACTCTTAGCCCAAAGTGCATCTTAGCAATGTTGTGGTGGATATAAAATGGATGTCTTGAATTCCACTCAATTGGAGAAAGGGCAGGGTATAAAATCAATTTAATTATAAGAAGTTCCCATGTTCATACTTGACTCTGTAACAAAATCAAAGTGAACATTTACCCTGTCTTACTTCAATATGTATTTATTTCAAGCTTTTCTAGACAGATGGTGTTTATTGGATGATGTTTATTCATTTAAAAGCAATCACCTCAATAACCAGTGTTCTCTTTATTGCGATTAACGTTGGGAGGGGAGCATTCTTTTTCCTTCCCACAGGCCACCAATTGGCTGTTTCCATTTCTATGAAAAACCACATGGGCCTATAGATCTTCAGATGATCCATGAAGAGGTATGAATGAATCCTAGATTAACATTATCTCATGTCTGGACAGGTGATTCCTGTTTCTCTCTGCAATGAACGCTGCCATCCAGGTTACCAGAAGAGAAGGAGGGAAGGGGAGAAGTTCTGTTGCTATGATTGTATTCTGTGTCCTGAGGGGAAGATTTCAAACGAAACAGGTAAGTGGTGGAAAGCACCAGCTTTGCTGTCACTTCTTTCATTCAGAGATATTTTCTGAGTGAAGAAGGTGACAGCATCTGTTTTCACCGCTCTTGTTAACACCTTTGAATCAGCCAAATATTTCATTGCAGATCCTCCAACACACTGGAGGGGATTTGGAAAGCATGGGAGAACCAATGGGGCATAGAATCCATTTCCCTAAGCAGTAGTGTTCTTCTGAAGAAGCTTTTTGGCTTCAACCCTGACCATGCTGCCATCTAACAAACTGGCATTGACTTTCTCCTTTTCAGACATGAATGAATGTTTCAGATGCCCAGAAGATCAGTATCCAAACAAGGGCAGGAGTGGTTGCTTTCCCAGATTGATCCATTTCCTGTCTTATGAAGAACCTTTAGGGATCAGCTTAACCTCAGCTGCTCTTTTCTTTGCCTTGATCACAGTTTTGTTGCTCGGCATTTTCCTTAAGCACAATGATACTCCCCTGGTCAGAGCCAACAACCGGGGCCTCTCCTACATGCTCCTCGTCTCTCTCCTGCTCTGCTTCCTGTCTCCTTTGCTCTTCCTCAGACAGCCTGGCCAAGTGACCTGCCTCCTCCGACAACCAGCCTTCGCAATCATCTTCTCAGTGGCCGTTTCTTGTGTCTTGGCAAAAACCGCCCTCGTTTCTCTGGCCTTCAGGGCTACCAAGCCTGGGTCAAGGCTGAAGAACTGGGTGGGGAAAACACTGGCCCATTGCATCACCCTCGCCTGCTCCTCTGTTCAAGCAGGCCTCTGCGCCATGTGGCTGGCATCTGCCCCTCCTTTCCCTGACTTAGACTATGACTCTGTGACTGAAGGAATAGTTCTGCAATGCAACGAAGGGTCAGTCCCCCTGTTCTTCTGTGTCCTGAGCTACATGGGTCTCCTGGCCCTTGCCAGTTTCACTGTGGCTTTCCTAGCCCGTAGGTTGCCAGATGCTTTTAATGAAGCCAAGTTCATTACATTCAGCATGTTGATGTTTTGCAGTGTGTGGGTCTCCTTTGTGCCCACCTACCTGAGCACGAGAGGCGAGAACACGGTGGCTGTGGAGATCTTCTCCATCTTGTCCTCCGCTGCTGGCTTACTGGGTTGTATCTTTGCCCCCAAATGCTACATCATTTTGCTGAGGCCTGAGATGAACTGCAGAGTTCAGCTAATGAGAAAGAACTGACCGTTTCCTTATCTCTAGCCTATTGTACTTCTGGAGGGTTAGGAGTTTTAGTATCAGTATAGGATTACCCCTCATTCCCTCTCAACATTTGTTCTGGTGAAATCCATCCTCATAGGGTTTCAAGCTGCATAGGAATGGCTTTCAGTTATTCCTTAATTCCTACTGAGTGCATGAAAAAGCAGAATGTATGCCTAACTATAGCAGCCCTATTATCTTTTCTTTACATAACATTTTTTTGGCCCATTAACATAAAAAATTCACAGTACAACTTTCCTTCAATGCATTTTCATTCTGATTGCTGGACGTTCTGGCCAAGTAACTTTAGTTTTGATGTGAGACAAAGACAATCTGAATTGATATTGTGAGACGACCCCAGCCATGCTTTGGAGCATCCAGCGTAGTGCATAAACATAAAACCATGCAGGCTGTTGATTATGTATTCATGTGTGAATCAATCTATTGAATTTAACAGGACAGACTTCTGATTAGGCATGCATAATGATGAGCTGTTTATGCCAAATGTGACCAAACTGATTGGATAAAGGTGCAGCATCCTATATACTGAACTAGTACTAGCATCAAGTGCTTATGGTCTATCATCGTCCTTATTTTAATCTAATGAAAATTATTGAAGTGACAATAAAATATTGCAATATGAATCGATTTTACACCTAAATCAACAGCACTTAAAGTAGCCACTGTGTCACATGAATGTGCATGTAACTACCCACCTTTCCAGAAAAATAAAGTGGGCCTGTATCTAATTTACAGTTGAAGCCCATGCATTTCAAAGCATAGGATGCAACCCATGGAACCAAACTCATGGAAAAATGCACACCTCTGGAAAGTATGTGCAACCACACCTTAATCACTGGAGAAAAACATGAACATTTAAAAATATGTACAATTGATCCATATATTTAGACAATATGCTTGGAAACATGCAGGTATTTTTGAGCTCAGAATGTAGTAAAGAAAGAAGACGGTCATGGTAGAATTTGATTGTGAGTTGCCCAGAGGTGCAGTGGTACAAAAGGTGGTGTACAAATGTTTCAAAGAAGAAAGAAAGAAAGAAAGAAAGAAAGAAAGAAAGGAAGGAAGGAAGGAAGGAGAAAGAAAATTGTAGGACCCCAATAAACTGGTTTTTTTTCTGATTTCCACAGCACAATTTCACACTGAAACACCTGTGTAAGCTTAAGGAGAAATGAGATACATGAATGTTGAAAAATATCTGGAAAGTAGCTGCAGCAGCTGGAAATGTTATGACTCTGAAAGCTGGAATTTTGTTATGTTGCTTCTCTTTGCCATCACATTCTTCCTAACCCTCAAAATTATGATGATGAGGAAATTCCCAGGCAAGGTGGGGATGCACATGGTCAGGATGACCCCAGAGAGTATCAGGTAACTTTTCTGAAGAACTGGGAAGCCAGGAAGGATTAATTCCTTCATGGATGTTCCATTTGCCATATTAATAAGTTGGGGGAAAATATGTACATGAATGAATGACTAAGGAAAGGGGAAATGCTGCCAACTTAGATATCCTCATGAGAATGTAGAGTAGGTTTGTAAAAACAGGGGTGGTCACAGTTGTGGCATCTTCTGCATCTGGTGCGGCTGGTGTGGTTCAATCTCCCCTCCATTCCTGAGTCCAGGCAAGTTTTACTGCTGCTCTCACTCTTCCTCAATGAGCAGGGAAGGAAGGAACAAACATCAGCAAAGTCCTTCCAAGCTTATCCCGACACACATTTGGACTCACATCTATATCACTGCGCATATCTTCATTCATATTTTTCCAAGTGTATGCACCATCGGTGTGACTTTTTGAAATGCACACATTCTCCTCCCATTGATAGTAGCATATGTGAGGGCATTTTTCGATTTTCTCACATACTTCTAGGGGTGATCTGAACCATTAATGGGAAAGAGATCTCCATAGCCCTGTGGAGGCATTTACTTTCCCCATACATAGGTCTAAGTGAGCAGAAGATCCATGTGACCAGGTTCATCTTAATGCTAAGCATCCCTAAACCACTGGACAAGTAATAGAACTTGTCATGATGAACAGGGCATACAGAAGAACATGCTTAACCAGCAGTAATAAACCCTTAGAAGTCTGGGTTTGGATTCACTGGACTTAAGTAAGGCAGGGACAGTGTGGTACTAAGGAAATACCAACCTGTCCATTTCTGTTCCTTTCTGATTCTCATTTCCCCCCATTTTAAGTTGCATTGATCTCCATAAACTGACCCATTTATAGAATATATATTCTGTCAAAAGCCCTCTGCATTGTTATGGTGACTTGAGATGAAGGCAAAAGGGAAGAGACCACACCCATCCAGAATACTCTAAATCTCAGCATATATATTAGTTTACAATGAGAACCAAGCAAAATTCTTTCATACAGACTTGGACTCCACAGGTACTCTTAGATCTCATATTCCAGATTGGCACAGTATGTATGTACATCGCTGAATTATCATTATCATGGAAGTGATAAAAAGTACGTATACTTCAAGGTGTGTAAGTTTGTGGCAACAGTTTTCCCTGCCCATGGACACTTCACCATTCTAGCATCACTTTATTTATTTATAAGCATATTTATAGGCTGCCTAACACTGCCTAGGCCTTCCTAGGCAGCTGACAAAACTTTACTGTTCTCCATCACAAGGATCAGAATTGCTGTTTTTTAATTGTTGCATTTATCGTTGTCCTAAATAAGTAGCTTCTGTGTAATAGAACTTGGTCCTTGAGAGACAGGTGTTTATGACAGCTCTATTACAATTCTGCACTTCCCTGATTCTATGAAGGAAAAATATACATTAGGTAGAAAACAATCAACTAAACATTTTGGATGTGTAAAACTACCATGGCTTTTCAATACAGCCAGAAATACAATAGGGAGTCCTGAAAAGTTGCTTCTGTGTCTCAATTCATAGATTTTGTTCCCTGAGAGTCAGGCACTCATTGCGTCATGCCAGCACCCACCATTCAGGATCTGATCCCTTGTGATCCACTGTCCATGTGTCCACCAATTTAATTGTGACATGATAATCAGACTAGGTCCAAGGCTATCCTCTCTCCTCCCCATTTATTATATCCGCACCTACGTATTCTAAGTCTACTTATTCATGGACCCTTCACCACTCTAGCATCACTTTATTTATTTATTTATTTATTTATAAATAAATAAGCATATTTATAGACTGCCTAACTCTGCCTAGGCCTTTTTAGGTAGCTGACAAAACATTACTGTGTTCCATCACGAGGATCAGAATTGCTTGTTTTTAAATTTTGCACTTTTTGTTGTCCTAAAAAGAATCTTATGTGTGACAGTTCATAGTATTTGGTCCCTGGGAGTAAGACATTTATGACATTTTATTACAATTCTATGACCCCTTGATTCTTTGGAGGATTCATTAGGTAGGACACAATCAACTAAAGACTTTGGATGTGGAAAACTACTATGGATTTTCAATGCAGCCAGAAATATTGTGGGAAGTCCTAAAAAGTTGCTTCTGTGTCACAATTCACAAGGTCCCTGAGAATGTTGCATTACCCAAGCACCCACCAATCATGTGTGATCCCCTGTGAGCCACTGTCCATGTTTCCACCAATTTTATTGAGATATGACAAACTGTCTGGTTTCAAGGCTATTCTCTCTCCTCCCTGTTTATCAAGTACACACCTACATATTCCAAGCCTTCCATCAATCGATTCATCTTCCATTCCCTTGATAAAACTGAGATGGGCACTGGTTTCTATTTCCAGATTTGATGATGTTTTGTGCCCCTACTCAGGGTCTTCCTAACTTTTCTTGTTCATGTTTACTGTTTGACGTCCATTAACCACCTGCCTCTTGCATACCACAAAGGGAAAAGGTGATCTGACCTCTTATATGAGAAACAAAGCAAGGCATGAAGGAAGAAGAAAAGTGAAGGAAAATAAAGATACCAGTGCCAAACAGCCACTCCAGATAGAGAATTCAATGTTTCCCTTTGGAATTAAGCATATGAGTATAATTTACTCTGCACAAATGCATCAAAGTATTTGAGGAAGATTGTAAAAATGAAGCAATGGACAAAGAAGTCTGAAAGTGCTTTGAAATAAACCCTTTTGCCACAGAGGACTGTGACTTTGGGCAAGCTGGAAGCAGGGCTTACTTGATTTCAAGTCTCCATTAAAGCTTTTTCCATCATGGAGCAAGCATGCAACTGGATGGCTTGCTAGGGCACAAGGCAGACCTTCACATTCATCTTCGTGGTTAAAGGTATTTCTGATGACTTTCTCTGAAGGGGTATATTGGCAGAGCACAACGTTTGGTGTTGAAATAATTTCATTCCTCTGTAAAAACACGGAAAAGTCTATCTAGAGTGAAACTTCACCACTAGTATGCTGTGCCTACTAGTATTCCACCTTTTCCTGCCTCACATGGTGTGTAAAGGAGATACCATGCAATGTTCCATGAAGGATCCCCTCCCAGTTCCACAAGAGTGGTACCAGCCTGGTTGTCTCATTGTTGGTGAGATGGTTTCTCTGATCACTTATGGCTCCAGTGGAGTTGCCTACCAGGAACAACCTTCTCAGGAAATGTTTGGGGTGCCAGAGTAAGTAATTATCCCCTGCCCACCTTTTATGAACTTCACAATAATGCAAATAATCCTTGATACAAGTTGCAAAATTGTGAAACAAAATATATATTTTATTCCCCCATCATAGAAAATATAATAATAATAATAATAATAATAATAATAATAATAATCCCTCATAGGTTTTGGATTGATTCCACAAAAGGACCCACAGTTTTAAATTTACAAGAACTGTGGTGTTAAAGAAACCTTGGAGGGTTTCCATTCACAGAACTGTCTGAAATTGGAAAGAAATTGATTATGCATAACAACAAGAAATTGAGTCAACATGATAACATGTCAAACATTGCAGGCATGCTAGTTTTGTGTTGTGAAATTCTTTTTTGCACTGATGAAGAATTTTTATAAGAGTAT